TCACTCACGCAGCTGGGCGGATCCCGTCATCTACGTCGGGATCCGCTCCGGCTGCGGCGTCTCAGTATACCGCGAGCTGTAGCTCGCGATATACTGAGCTTAGGGTAACGGGAGGACGCTAGTTTTTGTCCTCCCGTTACCCTAAGGAGAACTATGGGGAAAAATACTGACCCCATAGTTCTCCTTTAACTTGTCTGCTAAAACTCTATTCGGTAGCAGAGCTCCCGGCACTGATTCGATCGCATACTGCTGGGTGCATGAAGGAACATCTCCTGCTGGCTGCTGTGGTTCCTCCCAATGACCCCTACTTCACTATTATGTCCTGAAATGACTAGGGGTCAGCAGGGTGAACCACAGTGACCAGCCAGGTGACCCAAAACGTGACCATCCTGAGGCGCTAAATTGGATCACAGTCAGGAGCTCTGATACACAGAGAAGTTTTAGCAAATGGACAGGTATGAGTAGCTCTGTTTTGCTTTCAGGTTAGTGCCTAGTTTAGTTTTTTTCACCCACCCCCCCTTCCCCAACAAGGTCACTTGAAATATCAGGCTCCAATAAAATTATTGTGCTCCGTTATAAAACCAAAATAGTTTTATTTAAAAAAAAAAAAAAACTAATTTCAGGAAAAATCTGTAAAATAAATGTTTTCTCTCAGTCCTTGTAAGAAGCTGCCCCGGCAGTGAAAGGGTGCCGAGGTCGGCCTGTATGCACGGCACATATAAATAACTTGTGTTTTCACACTGGGGGAGGAGACCGGCCCATACATGGACCCCGGAGCCATGGGAGTCCCATGGCCTTTCCTCTCCAGCTGCTGAATAACTTGGAGCGGAGGCACACAATAATATCCAGCAGGGCAAAGTCTCACACTGTGACATATTTTCCCAAACTGAGTATTTTTTGCAGCGCAAAGAAAAAAAACCAAAAAAAAACTTGAAAACTTTGAAAAAATAGTTTGACAAAGTAAAAAAAAAAAAAATCCCTTTGTGCATCAGACATGAAATTGGTAAAGTAGAAATAGTCTCCTCCTACTCTTTGTAGCGGATGATAACTTGAATACGATGGTACTTTCTTACATCTCTGAGGGCCTGTTCACACGACGTCCGTTTTCTGTGCTGACCTGATCCGTACGATCCTGCACTAAATATGCATCCCAATGTATCCCTATGTGTTTTATGGGCTACAGTTCTCACGTGCGCAGTCCGTTCAGGTTACGACAGAAAAAATACTGCATGTCACACTTTGTACGGTCAGGAAACGCAAAACGCGTCAAAAACGCACTGCACCTAACATACTGACAGCCCCACTAGCAGTAGATATAGGCAAAAAAAAACCGGAGGGTTTAGAACCCCTTTAATTCTACTGGCAAGTTCAAAAGCAAATTGCATATCACATCTTAACATTTCTGTGCTTTTACCTGCAATTTTGTAAGTTGGTGACAGGGTCTCTTTAATGCTACCTGTACGGCATTGACAGTTCATGGATTTATGTAACTTGTTATATGGAGAGCTCTTACAGACACAGAAAACCAAACAACTTCAAATCTAGTGGCTGAAATGTCTACATATTTGTGAAACCAGCATGGAATGTTTGCCAGCTGCTTTTTTCCCCAAGAACTCAGACAAACGCGGTAATTGAAAGATCAAAAACAGACAAGCGAATCGTCAGACAAGACGTCCGTCCGAGGCAGGAGACGAGAAGAGCCTCCGTCACAGAGGTCTCATTGATAATGGGACACTGGATGCCACCAAAACCCATGGCCTGAGCACAGGGCGCACATTGAAGATAACGCTGTTATGGAGAATCTGGAACACCAGAACCATTCTTCAGGCAATAACAGTCACGGGTTCTGCATCTTTCCCAATGACATGAGAGGACTTTGTACCATTAATTTGGTTTTTGAATAAAAATGAAAAAAACTGATTACGTGGATCCCTAGCTCTGGTCTATAGTCTACATGCTGTACAAAGAAACAGAAGAAGTCGTCAATGGCACACCAGTTCCCGTTCCATCTTTATTGACGTTGGATGATCATAACATCACATTAAAAGGCAATGTTTTGGAACCAAACAGGATCCTTCATCAGGTATACAAAGTGACACCACACTGCCTGATGAATTTCCTAAAACTGAATGACATTCTGTCAATGAAATGAAGCTTCTGGTTTTTAAAAAAAAGCAGCACATGGAAACAAAGAATCATTTAACTTCCTGTCTCACCAGGCTTGCTCAATGCCTCATTTTCCCGGCTCATTATATTATAAGGTGGGAAAGTACTCGCTGTATAGTTTGTGTGTACCACTCCTAGGATACTCATGTCACGCATTTCAGGAGGCTTCGGGGTACCCTACAGTACGGTCTTGTTCACACCTAGGCGTATTGCATATGCGCGACCGTCGCACGTTTTTTTTACCGCGATTCGCGGTAAAAAAGTTGCGCGACCGTCGCGCGTTTCCGAAGGCTACTTGGCCTGTACCTGTACCTTTTCAGGCGTGGGACGTTTTGTAGCGCGTTAGGGACGGACGGAAATACGCCAAGGTGGGAACGAGACCATTGAATACAATGGGATTTATATTTTTGAGCGTTTTGTAGAGCGTTCGTCGAGCGTAGAACGCGCTACAAAACGTTCAGGTGTGAACGAGGGCTAAGGGGGCCAGCTGCAAGAATCCAGAAAGAGACAGCCGGCTCCTGTTGATGTCAGAAAAGAAGATGGCGGCACAGGAGCAGCAGTGGAGTGACAGATCCCTACAGAAAACCTATGGACTTGCTGGTTAGGGGGGAAGTTGGTTAGGCTTAGAATCTATTTTGTTTTTGTGTTCAAAAACTCAATTTTGCTCTAAAAGACAGAAAGGAATTTGAACTTGTGACACATTAAAAAAAACAACTCTGGCACCAGTGGTGTCAAAAGGAGGGTGCGGCCGGCACCCGGGTGTCACCATTGCAGGGGTGACACCAAAATGACTGGCAGTCATTTTGGTGTCACACTCTCTAAAAAGTTGGGCATTCGGTCATGTACCGAGAGCCCGACAGTGTCAGGAGAGAGGAGGGGACCCGACGGCATACCTCATCCCGCTGGGTGAACGTCCCCTCCTCTCTCTGCCGCCGTCCATCACCAAGATGGCCACCAGCAGGGAGCAATCAGATGGTCGCGCACGTCATCGCGCACGCGCAATGTGACATCATGCACAAATGGCGACGCAGCGGGGTGTCACCTGGTCTAGGGACCGGGTGACACCCAGCCTTGGGACGCCAACCAGCTTGAACTTCAACCAGGGGTGCGGAATTCCTATCGCCCGACGCCAGGGACATGTAGTTTTTTTGTACATTTAGCTCTGCTCTGGACAAGTAGAGCTAAATGTACCGTATACCGTTTATACAAGTGATATGAACAGATCACTTGTATCAAACGAGCAGAGATCTTGTCCGCCCCCCGCCGTGGTTTTCGGGATCCCCCGCTCTTCTGGGGGACCCGGGACCGCGGCATATGAGCTCAGCATGGAGAGTGGGGAGCAGAGCCAAGAACGTTTTAGCAAAAATCTAGTTTAGATTTAAAAGGAACATTCTAGTCTTTTTTTCTTTGTAGATTTTTGCTACAAAGAGTACTAAATTACATCAAATTTGGGAGTGACTTTGTGGTTTTGGACAATTAACCATCTCATTGCTGTGACAAATAACTACATTTTATTGGATAAATTGTATTTCCGTGCCTACCCTGGGATGTGTCTCTTGAATTATGCTAATGTTGCTTTGCTTTAAAAACTCATGTAAGCTATTGTGACGTTACAGAATCTTATCTTGACACCCTGCCCAATAAGTATTGATTAAACTTTGCTTATGACAAGCACACGAATCTCTGTTCCTGGTAATCGCGGGGTCTGGTATTCCTGCCAGGACACTGGCTGTGTGAGTTTGGCTTTTTTTGTGTATTACCCAATGAAAAATAAGTGAGAAGAGGAATAGGGGGAAGTGAAGTTCCTCTTTAAAAAGTTATACATTACCAAAAAAATTAAAAACACCACCAACAAAACATGACGTGTATTTTCAAATGCAGCTAATCTGAATATTGGAATCTGTTTTAATACAAACCTCCTAAAATGCACATTATGACTCAGAATGGGAGAGAGAGGGACAGAGCAGTGAGCCAATCGGCTACTACTTCATTGGACAGTGCTGTCAAACATTTTGAGCTTGCTGACAGCAAGATAACATGTGTGTTTTTTTTCTCCTTCTCCTACACTGTCCAATCTACAGCCTGCAAGTTGCTCCTTGACCGGAGCAAAGCTGTTCTGCTTTACTGCACTGGAGGTCAGGGACCTGGTCATGTAGCGTGGAAAAGGTATGTGAATTACAAGATTGCAGGTAAGACGTTGCACATGCCATTTGCCTATAGTTCAGCTTTAGGCTGGGTTCACACCATTTTCCGGACCAGATCTGGAAGGCAGTGCATTGCGTTTTTGGCGCGTTTTTACCGCAATTTTATTTTTTTGCTTCAAATGGTCTTACAGGTGCGTTCCATGCATTTTTTATGCATTTCTATGTGTTCCAGTGCATTCCAGACCAGATAAAATGAGACATGCAGTATTCTTCTGGTCTGGAACGGACTGCGCTGGTGGGAACAGAGGCCAGAAATAGCAAAGGGATACACTAGGATGCACTTTGGGTCCGGAAACAATCTGGTCTGGAGGTGATCCGGACATGGTGTGAATGGGCCCTCAAGAAAGATATTTCTGTACTCCAAGTTGTCTTGGCGGCCCTGGGAAAAGACAGCGCTCTCTACACAGGGTCTTGTTCAGTCCAGGGAACAACTTCAACAGAAATACAGACCTCTGCTGGAGGACAGGAAGACACAAAGCAGCAAAGACAGCTAGAGAGGCTGAGTAAATGCTGGAGTGTTAAGAGTCAGGAGATTAAGAACCATCTATGGGCAGCAAACCCATTCCTTCAATATATAATATTCTGATCATAAGTCTGTAAAGAGAAAAAAAGATGCCAGCAGGGCCTCACCTCAGTTGTGCTTTGAGTTCGGTAAACCGCGGTCGCCGGCTGGGGTCATACGCCCAACACTTGGTCATAAGGCTGTAGAGTGTGGGGGGGCAGTTGGCTGGCATCGGCAAGCGCTCGCCGTTCTCTATCCGACCAATCACATCATTGTTCTTCACCCCCTGGAAAGGCTTCACTCCGTACATTAAGATTTCCCACATGCACACACCTGGAAATATACAAACTGAATGATAAATTATATCGGTGCCAATACCTAGTAGTTGGGCGAGTACTCGTACTCGCCCAAACGCTCTCGATACTTATCCCGGGACTGGAACTTCCGGTATCTAGAAGCCGGGTGGCGAGTCATTACATGCTGCATGGCTTCCTGATTGGCCAGGAAGCTGGCTCCATGCTCCCTAATCACCAGGGAGAATGGAGCTGGCTTTGCAGTCAATCAGGAAGACGGGGGGGG